TTTCGCACATGGAGGATATGAAACAAAGTAATTTTTTTTAGGCTTTATATATGCAGTTGAATAACTAAAAAATCATAAATTACTCAATAATACCATAGAATTCCACTATAATTTATCAAGCTTAGTAACTAAGATGTATTTCAGTCTAAATAAGTATGAAATTTCGAGCAGACTAAAGACACAACCTACATCCTTGAATTCTTGGTTTGAAAGAAAGAGATGGCATCCAAACACGTTGAAATGGCAGAGAAAGCCACTAGGGGGACATTCTGAACTTTCAATTGGTTATTCATGTCATATATAGAAGTAAGTGTATATAAGAGACCTTTTCCAAAAATTGAAAGGTGATTGTGGCCACTGTGTTTGATTTATTACATGAGCAATATTTTAGCAAGTAGAAAAGATAAGAGGTTCTTATTTTATATTCTAGGTTGTCAATATCAGTAACTTGAGTTCCTAATTCATAATAAACTATAGAGTATAGTATTTTGATATCACAAACATCTAATTTGAACCATTGCCGCATTCAAAATACCATGTGACACACAAAAATCAATGTTTAACTTTGTTTTTGGAATATTTACTTCTAAATTAAGAAATTGAGTAATGTATAAAACTAAAATTTGAATTATAATCTACAGTTTGATACCAAAATTATTGATATAAATTCATGAAATAGTAGTTAAATAAAATTTTGAAGGCGAGTCAACAAACATGATGACATGGCATTTCACCCGTGACCCGTCTGGAAAGATTTACTGTTCTGCATTATTTCATATATTAGACAATACACAAGAACATTTCCCCTGGAAGACAATTTTTAACCAGATTTTTCAAAATATGTTCTCCAGTATAAAAAATACGAAAGATATATTCCTTTATCAGTTTACATTTTTATTTTCATTAAATAATAAAAGTTATATTCACAATATATAAAAAATGCATTTCAAAATCAGAGCTTTTTATACTCATTACTAAATCATGAGTGTTCACTAATGAGAACTAAAGTAGCAGTTGTTAAAATCTGATAAATATAAACAGATGAGATTAAAGGGAAATTCTCTTCTATTTGATGTGAGTGTGTGTTAAACTGAATTGGTCAAATCCCTATTTTTGACTTAAAGTCTGTATGTTTAATTAAGATACAGCTTTTAACACAGAACAAAATTTAGACATACTTAATTGGGACATACATTACCAAAGTGTTGGCAAATATCTTCCTCTGATCACCCCAAGATACTTAAGTTTTACTGGGCCTAAGAAACCTCCATAGTGCCTTAACATAATTAACCTAACTATGTTGCATCATTCATACATTTCTTCAATTAATCTTACTGAAACTCAGATAACTTTAATGTAACTTTCAGAGGAAGCACATTTTTCAAAACACGTACCTATCATACATTTACTCATAAATGCAATAATTATTAATTTAGAAATACATATATAAATATGACATTTAACAGTATCAATATGTCACTTATCTGCTAAACAAATACTGAATGTGCTTCAGTTTAGTAGGGCTAACAGTAAACTACCTAAGACTGATAACCCAATTAAACCTCTCTATGATTTATCAAAAAAAGCAGCATCCAGACAATACACACACACACACACATATTAAACACAAAATTGGTATTATGCATTTTATATATGTAACAAGTTAAAATATAATAATTACTGTTTTTAAGAAATTAATCTGCCAGCTGATCTTACCAAGATACTGAGGATGTTTCTCAATCCATTCACAGAGTTCCCCAAGAAGCAGCGTGCTAGTATGTCGCACAGCAATATGAGAATCTTCTGGAAGATGAATAATAGCTTCTACAACCTGTGGAACCACTTCATTTTCATCTCTATGAAAGGAAAAAAAAACTAATTTAAAACATTACAAGTCTATGGGTTATATTTCTAATATAAATACCATGAAATAAATGAATGTAAGCTTTAGATCAAAACATTTAATTTACTAAGGACAGGGTATTCTCAGAACTAGACAAATACCATTACAGATACAACATACAGTGATTGACTGGTTGATCCAAAATACAACATGATGAAAACCAAATCAGATAAACACAATGCTGAAGATTAGTCTTTGTCACACAAGACATCACCAAGCAAACATTAGAAACAATGAACATTTACAGCCTTGTTGAAATAGCAGCCATACATGCACACACACACACACACACGATGTTAAGAAAAATTTTGTTGCATAATACATATATAATGAAGTTAAATAATAAAGAATCAATCCAAAGGGTTGACTTCAGTTCTCAAGCAACAGCTGAAAGAGTACACACAACAAATGAAAGTAATGGACAGAGTCCAATATAAATATATATATATATATATAATTTCATTTTTATCATTACCATACTGTTCAAATTCTTATTTTTCATGAAGAATTAACAATTAACTTACGGAATGATATTTTTTGCTACAGCAGCCATAACAAAAAGAGAAGCTTCAGACATATTCCACGTAGCATTACTTCCTTGGTTCTTCAGGTTTTCAAACATCTAATATGCAAAATAAAAGTACAAATTTAAGTTATTTTCAATAATACAGTTCAGGTGACACAGGTTCAACTTGTTAGAAAATGTCAAATATTTAAACTACTATTAAAGATAAAACATAACATACTAATGCCAAACTAATGGAAAAATCCACAGAATTCACAAAGAACACTCATGTGTGAAAAAATCAAACATGATATTTGTTAGATAAACACACACACACACACACATATACATACATACATAGTTCTAAAACTCTAAGTTGGAATTCTTACCAGGAATGGAGGATGACAAGGAAAAAACAGGAAGTAAGCACTCATTTAGACAGTGATTGATAACACTACTGATGGTGTAGGTTTTAAGTGTTACAGTTTTTTTATTTGACTACAGAGCCTTCAAGTGGTTGATTAAATATAGCCCTAGTTTTATCTTTGGCATGTGAACTTATATACCACTAGTAACATATTCAATGGATGTTTTTTGTCCACAAAGTTGAACAGCCCCTTGTGGATATAACTGTTTGATAGTTTTAATTATTTTTCTTAATCATATAACAGTTTTTTTTCATGACATCTAATGTAATAAATGAAGTACTTAGTTTCAGTTTTTGTGTAGATCATTCTCTTTAAGAATGACAATGAAAGTTAACATTTTCATAATCTGAAAATGTATTTCCAATAGATACTCAAACTCCACACATATAAATGCTATCTTCCTTGTGCATCTGCCTTATGATATTTGCATGCCACTAGCCTTGAGGTAACTCCTACCTAAATTCATGAGAACTGTGCTGGTACATGATGTCATCACATGACAAAAATCCTCCACTAACAGGAGAGCAACACAACCTCCATGCTCAGTTACTCATCCTATGCACTTGTGATAATGTCAATCTTTGATAAGGCAAAAAAAGAAAACAAAGTACACCAGAAGTGGAGAGGATGGGTGGGAATGTGTGTAGAAGTATCTAATAGAAATACATTTTCAGATTAGGAAAATCTTACCTTCCAGGACAATAACTCATAGAAATGCTAAAATTCCATGTTTAAATTGTGTAGGAGGCTGGTGCAAAATTTTTAAAACCTAGATGACCTCCCTTCAGAAAGCACCTGAAGAGAAACCCCATGAAGTGTGACACTCAATGGTAGGAGCTCCATAAGGGCACATCTGTAGGAGATCACATCTTGTCTTGGCCAGGGTAAACTCTTCGGCCAGAATGTAAGGGAGGAGAGACAAATGAGCTGCAAGTCCTACAGGGACAGGCAGAATGAGAACATGAACATCTGAGCACTTGCACGCAAATGGTCAGTGAGCCAATATGTGTAGTGTGGTTGGGGTGTGATCAGACTGTACAAGAGTGCTCTCACCTCAACTCTACCGAATGGTGTTTAGCTGTAGGAAGAGGGCACATTAATTTATGTTTGTAAGGGGGTGATCCATACTATATAGACAATGTCACCACTGCCCCACTTCTCAGCATATTGCACTAAACCCAATTGGTACAGATTCTCCATGGTCCACCCCCTTACTGGTAACTGGCAAGGGTCTCTTGTGCTCCATTTGAAGAAAAAGGGGGAAGAATATGCATTAGGAAAACCCAGAGAAGTACCCAAATCGTCATCAAACCACCAGCCAGAAAGGTTCTTTTTCTGGAGGTAGCGCAGTGGGTGACCACAAATCCTATATATATTTTTAAAAGCTGGTATGTATGAGCTAATGAAGTGAGCCAACACTTCCCTGGTGCTAGCTTTTTCCAAGATAGTCCATGGAATAAGTACAGTATGGATCATACAATGGAGAAAATATGTATACCACGAGAATACCTCAAGTGGTCTTGCTGAACACCCCATCTTGCAATGGGCACTGGTAGAGCCAGGGCAGATGGTTTGAGCACTTTCTGTTATCCTGACTTGATGAGGATTTTTGGAAATAAGCATACTCTTGGAGGCAACACCAGCCAGCAGGCAGGATCCTGAACTATGAAAAGGGAGGGAAAGGGAAAATAAATACACTTACCCATCTCAAAGATGGTGGGTCGACCGAAGAATAGACGTCAGTAGATGTCGAAATCCAGTAGGAGATGAAACAGCCAAATGGTGGAGATAATGAAAGGCAGATGTGTGGGAAGTTGTTCACATGCCTGCCTGGAGGATCTCATCCAAAGGCCAAGAGAAATGAGAAGCAAGAGAATGAATCAGATGATGAATGTGATATGAAGAAATGTGTGTGTGTGTTTTCTTATAGCAAAGCCACATTGGTCTATCTGCTGTGTACACTGAGGAGAATTGAACCCCAGATTTTAGCATTGTAAATTCGAAGACTTACCACTGTCCCACCGGGGGACTATAAAGAAAATAGCCTGTGAACATCCACATAAAGGAAAGCATATTCCAACTAGAGAAGTTGATGGACTCATCCAGTAAGAAAAGAGAGGTCCCTAGTAGAAGAGGGGGGGGCCCCAGGGTATAAACTGACAATGACAGGAAGCCTGAAAGTGAGAGGTTCGTGACAAGTAACAACAAACAACCCGAACGGGACACAGTAGCCGATCCAAACAACAGTGACCACAGGCAAAAGGAAGGAGGAAATAACTTATGAAATAAGATGGTATAAAGAGCAAGAGGCCACTGGGTTGAATGGGTCAGCATGAGAGAGTAAAAAATCACATTAAGATCCCAGTCAGACATGGGAGTTGGGTGAGAAAGTTGGTGAAGAAGGAAGGAGCAGAATAGAGTGTACAGAGAAAGAAAACACCCTGTGGTACCAGGAAAGGCAAAATGTAGTGGATAATGCCACCCAATAACCAACAATGGTGAAGACCAAAAAACCATGGCTGAACAATAAGTACAAAAAACAGAAAGGTGATTCACAGTGAGATGGCTGCAAAGAAAGGAGTGGTGAATGGACTAACAATGACAGGCTGCCACTGATGTTGATACACAGTCAAACTGGAAGGGAGACAAGAATGTAACAAGAAAGAGGTTATACAATTGCACAATTCAACAGGTGATGGATCATACAAATCCCACATGTGAAGATAAAGGGATGGTATCTTCTGATGAAATAGTGGTATAAGCAATAGAGAAGAGATTCTGGGTAGAGGAAAAGAGGTTTTGATGTTTATTGAAGAAGCAGAGGAAACCAAAGCTGAGCTGAACAAAAAGGCACCACCAATAGAACCTAACAAGGAGTGTCACGTATCAAGGTGAGGACCCAAGAAAAACAATAAAGAGTAGAATATACATATAGAAAAAGGTGAGACCAGTCCTAGTTGAGAGAATCAACAGCCAGAGCTGAAGGATGAGGTACAGGAAACAAGAAAAGAGGAAGCTTGGAGTTGAGAGGAGTGGCAAAGGCATCCATAAGAAGTGCACTTAACCAAAATCAAACCCAGTGAAAGATTTGGAGGTGTAGAAACCATTACATGGGCAGAACATGATCTGGCTGAGAGAGATGCTCCACTACAAGGTTCATTGCTCCTAGCACATGATAAGCAACAAAACAAATCTGACGTGAATGAGCCCAGAAGAGTAGCTCCAATGGCCAAAAGCAAAGGGTTCTGGAATGGATGCCCCCTGGACAGCTAAAGTAAGAAGCAACCATGGAATTGTCAGAGTGGATCATGACTAAGTGATCCACCAGAAGGGCAATAAATGAGAACATGGCTGACAAACAGCAAAAAGTTCTAACATGTTGACATAGAGTGAATGCTCATCCTGTGTCCAAATGCCAAAAATCATGTTGTTCAGAGAAGAGCCCTAAACAGAGAGGGAAGCATCGGTGAAGATATTAGAGATCTGGTCCAGTGGATAGTAAGAGAACTCCATAAGTAGTATTGGCATGGTCCAGTTACCATCAAGGTACAATCAAGGACAATGAATCCTGAGAAGGATAAAACTGGTCCTGCAAGGTCTACTGGAGGAGGCCATGTGTGCATTCCCTCAAAGTGATAAAGGCTTCCAAGGAAACCAGAGAACCAGAGTCCCAAAAAACCAAAGAACCTCACACAGGATGAGAAGGAGAATCATAAACCTTGATGATCAGACCCTCCACAGCTCACAGGTGAAGGGAAGAAGGGTGAGCCTGGCTGAGACAGGAGCTGAAGAAGATGTCCAAATATATCAAATACTGAATGAGCATGAGAAAGAACTTCGACATCTTGACAAGCCACCCCAACCAAGCAGCCTCCTGTAGAAGAAGAGAGATGTGAGTAGAGAATACCTCCTGAGAATGGGCTAAGAAGATACAATTGCCCAATTTTAAATTACTAAGCGAATGTTAACAAAATTTGGCAGATTATCAGTAAATATTACAATGCTTTCATATGCAAAATAGCAAATTTTTTTTATCAAGTCTTAAGGTTTGTAAAGCAATGTTTTTCTCATGTCTTTTTTTTTCTTTTCACATGTTACCTATCTATCATTCAAAATAATATTCATTTTAAGATTAAAAATACTTTTATGCATCGCAAAATTTTGAAATTTCACAAGCGAAATCTTTATAATGTTCAGATAGTTATCAAAGGTTTCTTACAAAAAAACTTTATATTTTATCTGTTATTTTAAGTAATTAATCTCTGTACGGGTTCGGTAGATTTGACCGATCTCGCAACCACCACAAAAAATTAAAAAATATATATAAATTATACCTCTTTCATTCTAGAATGAACACAAATTATAACATAAAAACATAAACGTTTAGACTAAATAGCTCAAATCTCATAACATTATACATTTATTATTTTTTATTATATTCACCTTTCAGCCATGCCTGGCTAACAATACAGAAGTTACAATGACACAGCTCACATGCACTTATGTTACCGTATCAAATATCATAAAACTGACCTTTGGTCTGTACATAGTAACTTATTTTGGCTTTGTTTTATTAGACTAGTATTTTGTAAAATACAGTCACATTTCAATTATTATACATTATATATGTA